TACGACACAAACGAAATGATATGGGACAGTAGATTTTCACTGCAACTACCGGCCACCGATCTTGATAATATTATAGGTCTTAAGAAGAAGGACCATCTCCCCGTCTAGCCTTGTGAATACACCTAGAAAATCTTGAGCCCTCCGATTAATGGGTGAATAATTGCCTAGATTATTTCTAACAGTCTTAATATAGTGATAAATACACGAGAAGACCTCCATCTTACTTCACGTTTTATGAATGTATTTCTCGCTGGATATCGCTCGTATGGGCCGGCTTGAACCGGTGTGGTACCACGACCTCACAGAATACCAGCGTGAAGTAGAGGTTTACCTCTGCGTTGCGCTTGGTGAGTCCAGGTGGCCGAAGGCCCAATCCCCCCCCCCCCCCCCCCCCGCCATCAACATGGTATTAAAGTAGCGGAATTAACTAAAAGATTACCCCAAAGAGGGTACCAGCACCCCTGGAGAATCCCTCGCTGAGCATCCACGACCAAACTACTCCACTCCTGAGCGTAGGTGCTCAGGTTGCCCCACGTATACTGGGGAGAGGGGAGGGGGCAAAATTCCGCTCGCGACTAACACTGCTCGGGGCAAGCGGAGCAATAAAACCAAGGCGACCCCCGTCACGCTATCTGTGAAGTTTTGCAACATCAGGGGACTTTATTCCAACCTTGACGCTGTCCATTACCATCTAGAGACGGCGAAGCTAGCCTTGCTCTTTTTAACCGAGACTCAGGTGGCCTCTCCGGCTGATACTTCATATCTCTCCTACCCGGGGTACAAATTAGAACACTCCTTTGTGCCCCGGGCTGGAGTTTGCGTATACGTCAGAGAGGACATCTGTTTTCGACACCTCGGCAGTCTTAAAGGTCTATTCTGTACCTGTCCATTCTATGGCTGGGCGTAGACAGCGACGACCATCCCCACGTCTACGGGTGCCTCTATAGGTCCCATAGCGGTTATGCCGACTCGTCGACCACGTCCAAATGGCTGCAGACTCTGTGCTACAACAGGTCCCATCCGCAGAGATCGTGATATTCCGTAATTTTAACGCCCACCACGCTGAATGGCTTGGTTCTCGTTTAACCGATCGTGCGGGTAGATCTGTGTATGACTTTGCCTTGGCATATGGTCTAACACAACTGGTTACTTCGCCTACGCGGATTCCAAATGTAGAAGATCATGTACCTTCCCTGTTGGACCTTCTGCTGAACTCTCATCCAGAAGGATATCAGGTCTCTGTCGATGCCCCTTTTGGCTCTTCGGACCATTGTCTGACCCGGAGTATGACGCCACTCATGCTCCAATGGCAGTTGCGATTTGCAGCTTGCCGCCGTGTTTGGCACTGTAGGTCGGCCGATTGGGACGGGATGCGGTCTTTTTTTGCATCCTACCCTTGGGGGCGGGTTTGCTTCTCGCCGGAAGACCCCGTTGTTGCTGATTCTGTTGCTAATATGGTACTTCAGGGTATGGAACGTTTTATTCCATCATATGTGGTGCCCATCGGAGGCAGATCCCAGCCATGATCTGGTCGCTCCTGTAAAATAATCCTGTTAAAATAACATCACGCTATAAGCAGGAGTGCTACTGAGCCTGGACTGACGCATCAACGTTTCGGGATGTAAATACCAGCGCTCTTAAAAAGAAGTATAATTCCGCCTCCAGGTCCTTCAAAAGCGTCATTGCCAAGGCAAGGTCTGAGCACATCGGCAGAATTGGCGAGAAGCTAGTTCGTCTTCCTCTGGGAACTCGTGCATTCTGGTATCTCGCCAAGGCTGTCTAAAGGAACTTCTGTCAGCCATCTCTTCCATCTCTGCACAGAGAGGACGACTCACTGGCCCATGCCAATAAGGAGAAAGCCGATTTTGTTGAGCTCTCTCTTTGCGTCCAAGTCGACTCTAGATGACGGGGGAATACACCGCCGATCATCCCGCGGTGTGAGTGCTCCATGCCCGATGTGCGGTTTACACAGCGCTCGGTTCGCAAAGTACTCTTCTCCCTGGACGTCAGCAAGTCGAGTGGGCCTGATGGAGTCCCTCCCATTGTGCTGAAGACGTGTGCTCCGGAGTTGGCACCGATTTTAACGCATCTTTTCCGGTACTCCTACCCCCAAGGCGTAGTCCCAAATTCATGGAAGACAGATTTGGTCCACCCGACGCCTAAAAAAGGCGACCGCTCAGACCCATCTAATTACAGGCCTATCGCCATCACGTCCTTGTTCTCCAAAATAAAGGAATCCTTTACAAACTGCCAGCTCATGAGGTACCTTGAGGATCACCAGCTGATTAGTGACCGCCAGTACGGTTTTCGTCGGGGTCGATCAGCTGGTGATCTACTGGTCTACCTGACTCATAGATGGGCGGAGGCAGTTGAGTCCCAGGGGGAGGTATTGGCCGTTAGTTTGGACATAGCGAAGGCTTTCGATCGGGTCTGGCATAAAGCGCTTCTTTCGAAGCTTCCTTCCTATGGGCTTCCCGAGAAATTGTGCAAATGGATCACCAGTTTCCTTGCTGATCGGAGTATCAAGGTAGACGGTGCATGATGTGATTTCAAGCCTATCAACGCTGGTGTTCCACAAGACTGCGTGCTATCACCAACACTGTTTCTCCTGCAAATCAATGATATGTTGCAAACTGGTAACATTCATTGATATGCAGACGACAGCACTGGTGATGTTTTATATACCGGCCGTGCCAATATTTCTCGGGAAAACCTCGTCGAGTACCAGGAAAGACTTCTGTCTGAAGTCGAGTCTTTACTGAATAAAGTCTTGGATTGGGGGTGACTAAATCTAGTCCTGTTCAATCCCCAGAAGACACAAGTTTGCGTGTTTACCGCTAAAAAGAAACCCTTTGTCGTATCTCCTCAGTTTCAAGGCACTCCCCTTCTTGCCTCTGCAGTCTACGACTGTTCGTTTCACTAGGAGTTTTCTTCCTCGTACAACTTCTCTGTGGAATTGTTTACCACCGGCGATTTTTCCAGACCGATACGACTTAGGGATCTTCAAGAAAAGAGCTTACATCTTTCTAAAAGGCCGGCAACGCATCTGCAATTCCCCTGGTATTGCGGTTGTTCATGGGCGGCGGTAGTCACTTACCATCAGGTGAGCCGCATGCTCGTTTGCCTCTCTTCTATAAAAAAAAGTCCACTTAATAGTAAGTAAATATTGTGGTTGTAACACGAATAGATTGGCTCGACCGGGAAACGACCACGCTTTTACAGCTTAATGTTGCTATGTTTAGGTTGGGCTATGGTAAGTGTAGAAGAACCGGAGACTCTTTTTAATAGACATGTCCTCAGAGATGTCAACGCATTTGCATATTGATTCTCAATCGTAGATAGATGTAGATGTCTATTGGCCACAGTATATTACCATCAAGGAAACTGTGTGCTTTTGTCGTTCTTATTCGATAAATAAATCTAAACAACATAAAACAATCGAAAGTGTGATACTAACTGCTATAACACTAGACAGAATGTTACATAATCATAATATAACAACAATAAATATCGCTCAGCCTACATTACTTACATGCAACGCTGCAAATATGAGTGATATGATACGGCACGGTGAAAAATGCGCCGTATCATGAATAAATATATCATAAATCATTGTTTGAGTTACATGCTCGTATATACGCTGAATCACAAACATCATCATCATTAAAACGTCTAAAGACCACAGTTGAACATAGGTCTCCTATAGATTGTCTCACTTGCCATAGTTGCAACTTTGCATGCAGGTTTGCAACTGCAGTTTTTAATAGTTGTTTTCAGAAAAATGCTGCTGCCCATCTCCTGTTTCTTTTCCCATGGAATAATATGGGATAGTGGATATTCTTACACCGCCACTACACGGTACGCTCGCCACACGCTATACGCTACATGAACTCATTTAACAATGTTTTTTTTTTATGGTGCTTTGTACTCATTGGTCACAAGCAAAGCAATTAAAGATGCCTAAGATTATAGTAACACGGTTTACACCCATCATCAATAATTTACATCCACATTTCAGCTACTTTACAACGTTTTACCAGGTTCTTATCACGTTTTAGTGACTCGCTTCTTGTATGTCCGTTCGGGTCGAATTTAGTAATTGATTATAAAATAACTTCCAGATGAGCTAAAGACTAAGCACTATGCTCAATGACCTCAATAGTGTTTCCCAACGGATAGGTCTTAAGATGAACATGGACAAAACTAAGATCATGTTTAATGTCCATGTCACACCTATGCCGGTAGTTGTTGGGAACACTAAGCTCGAAGTTGTTGACGAGTATGTTTACCTGGGACAAATAGTCCGACTGGGTAAGTCCAACTTCGACCGAGAGGTCAATCGACGGATTCAACTCGGCTGGGCAGCGTTCGGGAAGCTACGACACATTTTCTCGTCAGACATACCTCAAAACCTTAAAACGAAATTGTACAACCAGTGCGTGTTGCCAGTGATGACTTACGGAACTGAGACGTGGTCCTTCACTGCTGGCCGTATGAGGAAGCTCAAGGTCGCTCAGCGAGCTATGGAGAGGGCTATGCTCGGAGTTTCTCTGCGTGATAAACTTAGGAATGAGGATATCCGCAGTAGAACCAGAGTGACCGACATAGCCCAACGGATTAGTAAGCTGAAGTGGCAGTGGGCCGGCCATATAGCTCGAAGAACCGACAACCGATGGGGAAGAAAGGTTCTCGAGTGGCAGCCTCGTAACGGTAGGCGAAGTGTAGGGCGTCCCCCCACGAGATGGAGTGACGACCTGGTAAGACATGCAGGAAGTCGATGGATGCAGGTGGCTCAGGACCGTGTTTTGTGGCATTCTTTGGGGGAGGCCTATGTTCAGCAGTGGACTTGTGAAGGGCTGTAATGATGATGATGATGATGAGCTAAAGACGTGTTATATTGAATATAGCGCAAAATCGGATGACAATGTAAGATTAAGAAAAAGAAGAAGTATATTAAAAAAAATGTTATTTAGGTTACATGCATCTACCAGCCATCTCACCTGGAGTCCCCGCTGTAATGGACGGAGTTCACCTTATTGATGTGTCCCTTCAGAGTTTTCTTTGTCACAAACCGTATCTTCGGGACGTCGCCCAGGTCGCCGCACTTCTCCACGAGCTTCGCATCGGCCACTTTTTCTTGAGCCGCCTGGAAAGATACATACTTTTATTTCTCGAAATCGTAATGCCGTATCGAACGGCTATAGTCATATTGGTAGAGGAATAAAATCTGGGATAAATCAGTTATCATCATCGTTACAGTCCTTCACAAGTTCACTGCTGAACCGTGCCTTCTATGATAGAATATAGACTCCCTGTTCCACCAGGTCGTCACTCCATTAATATAAATCAATATTACATATAAATTATTCTTCTCTATCTCTTTCTTCAACAAGCAAATAGTAATAATATTTTAGGTGTAACTGTTTACATATATTTACTACGGTATTAAATCTTGACAAGGAGATAGACTAGTTATAAAGTCTAGAACTAGATGAAAAATTCGTCCAGGCGTCTTGACGCTAGGGTGACTGTTTATTAAGGTACCAAAAATTTAACCTTAGGTAACAAATACCTATTTGGTAACTACAATTGTTGTTACTCCTGACCAAATATTCAAACGCTAGACAATTTTAAGACGTCATTAAGTGTCGTGGTGTCACAGATACTTTGACATAAGGTGATAGAGACAGCACGAGACTTAACCAACTTATCGGCATCTTAAAATTGGGCAGCGTTTGAGTTTTTTCTACCGACTTCAAAAAGGAGATGGTACTCAATTCGACTGTATGTTTTTATGTGTGTTACCTCATAATATTTTTCTGGGTAAACCGATTTCGATGATTCTTTTTTCATTTGAAACCTGGTACTTCTCATGTGGTCCCATATAAATTTGATTATGGTCTGACCAATAGTTTTTGAGTTATTCTTAATAACGTATATTGAAGTCGGTTGTACATATTTTTTTTATTTTAAATTATGGCATATAACATCAAGTGTCTCTTATGGTCCAGTGATTCTGATGCTCACCTCTTTTGGACGATCCTGATGATGATGATTTTTTAAAAGATCCTATAGTATTAAGAATAAGGAAAGTACTCGTAAACACTACGACTACCCTCACCTGTCAACCATTAATGTAGCAAATGTTAGTGCAATGTAACCAGTGTAAGTAGTTCTTGTCAGAAGTAGAATGACAGGTTCCAACCCACGAATATTTACTTTTGTACGATACATACTTAATAGCGAGTGACTCTGAAGTTTATTTATATAAAATATGAGTGACAAAACAGCACACCGTCCACCTAAGTGTGAGTAAGTGGATACTGTAATACCATGCCCAAATATATCTACGTCTCTCTTTAATTAAGAATCAAAATGCAGATGCGTTGTCACCCTTGACGACTAAGATGGAATGCCTCATTTCCATTAAAAAGAATAGCCGTTTCTTTATACCCACCATAAGAAAAACAGCAGTTTTAAGCTGTTATTTTACGCTGGTATTCTGTGAGGGCGTGGTCCTTTCCGGTCGAGCCGACACATTCGTGCTACAACTATAATATAGCTGCAGCGTGGCTCTACCACGTATAGAAGTTTCAGTCATTTGAATTTTTAGCTGGGCTGCATAAATAGTTCTGCAAGAGCAACATATTTAGCGCTTGATTGTCTTTTTGGCCATCAAAGTAATAAAGACCTCTCACTGGGCAAGTTGACGAAATCAGCCCAGGGATCGGAGAGTAGCCAATACTTCGTGTACTAATAAGCTTGTTCTAATTTATACGTCGTAAGTATCATCATCATCATCATCATTACAGTCCTTCACAAGTCCACTGCTGAACATAGGCCTCCCCCAAGGAATGCCACAAAGTACGGTCCTAAGCCACCTGAATCCATCGACTTCTTGCATGTCTTATCAGGTCGTCACTCGGTCTAATGGGGGACGCCCTACACTTTGGAGATTCTTAGCACCCCCTGCCCCGCCGTTACCATGGTCGCCACCTTAGCCAGGAATAGGAGCCGTCTCTTCGTACCTTTAATCATTGGGGAGAGGGGGGGGATATTGCCATGGCTGCCACGCTTGGCTAACGGGTTGGCAACCGCAGCTGTTTTCATTGTTGTTTTGCTGTTATCAGAAAGATGCTACTGCCCATATTCTGCCTCAGTTTCCCTCCGTCGCCTTACGACACCCACGGGAAGACATGGGGTAGTGGGTATTCTTACCCGCCACTACACGGGTTCGTTCGAAATTTCGTTCAAAAACTTTGTTATTGCGATTCATGCATTAGATGCGCTATTACATGCATTATAGTAGCCATTAGTTGTTAAAAACGAATATCTTAACCCGCTCACACAACAAATGTTAAAGTAAGTCAAAGACATGTTCATTTTCCTTCTCTAACTTTTATTTTACGTCAATTGATTGACCACAATGTTCTTATTTCCTAGTCATAAAAAGAAAAAAAACATATAAAAGCGCAGCAAATAAAAAGAAAACAGTGCTATAAATCTATTTCACGTATTGACAGCTATTCAAGTATTTGCGCTACATTACTCTCGCATCGCTCAAGCATTTTATACCTTTCTAAAATACCTTACTACTTTCCGCAGAAGTACACCTAGAAGAATTATTATTACCAAAACAGATACACTGATAGTAATTCTTAGCGATACTAAAATAATATTGAACGAATACCTTCACATTAGCGATCAGATCCGTCAGTTCCTTCTTCAGGGCAGTGGTTTCAGGGTCGTCTTTTGGCATTTTGATAGATCCAAGAGCAAGCGACCGTCAGCACCAGATAATATACAACTAGTGAGGCTCACGGCCCGCACCTCACTCCTGGCCTTAATCCTATTGACATAATTGGATTCCAATTTGCTGAAGCTTCACATGTGCCTTTGCCATACGACACAGTTTATTCCGACACAGTTTTCCATATTTTAGAAAGTGATTAAATATAAAGTACTGTTGTGACGGCTCATAATTATTATTAATAAATAATAATTAAATTTAATATAAAGACATTTAAAAATCTCATGGAAATTATATTTTTAACAATTAAAATGCATTAATAAGCATAAAGTTCAAATATATTCATTTCGAATATTAAATATTATAGTATAGTAAACGCATATCGTGTCCTTAAAAATCTCTAAATTTAATAAAAACTCTGCTTAAAATATTCAAAATGTATTAAATAATACAAGTACAATTCGATTGTATTGCCATAAGAAAGATAAATAACATTTGTAATATAATTGAAAAAATGAGTCAAAAATTTAATTAATAATTAATAAAGTTAATATGGGTGTTCTTGAATTACTGGAGTGTGTTCATGTAATGATTGTTTATATGAAGGGCGTTGCCGGGGACACATACCCATGGGTGTGCATATATATATATATATAGGGTCGTTAGCTGACCGCCTGATACTAATACTGTTGCCCAATGTATAGTCCTATATTAGGTACTTGTGATAGTAAGGTCTATGGAACTAAAGAATTAATATAGAAGGTCTCTTTGATGTTTAAGCATTATGATAGCAGAGTTATGACTTGAAGTCCCATATGTATAAGATATATAATAGTATGGTCACATAGTTGCATTGATGCTTACTGCTGCTTGCGGTATTGAGTCTTATGGATGGATCTGCAGGTGTGCTGCGCCTGATACGATGCATCATGTGGTTCTGGTAGATGGAGGTGTGCGGGTGGTGATGTCTGCTGGGATTATATGGGGGAGCTTGGGATTATGTAAGCCGACGATAGTCTTATTGATGCTTGTTGCGTTCTGCAGCAATGCGTCTCTGCGATGGTTGTTTGGCGGCTCGCTATTCTCAAGGGCGCTCTCTGCGTCTTAGCTTGACTCACAACCTCCATGATGTTTTATATAACAACATAATACTATGTCTAAATTTACCACCTTTGAATAATTGAAGGCAATTTGTTGGTGGGTGAGACAAACATGATCGAAAATGCATAACTCAAATGGCTATATCTGACATTGTATTGTTTGGTGGAGCATATGTGTCTACCTCGTGCGGGTGGTAGCAGGAGGGAGGAGACTCTCAAGGCTACGGCCGAAAGCCGCTCAACGTGGAACCCCATTCCTTTGAGGTGAGCGGTAGACTCATGACACGCTCTGCGGCTATTTAGCCGTGCTGATCATGCAATTGGTGCTGATGCCTTACACTTACATCACGTCTACAGGAATGGCAGTCTGACAGGAGCGCTCTTTATGGCCAGTTTGCCTATTTTTATCTAATCCATGTGACATACATACACTGTGGCTGGATTTGATCGTATTCTGTATGGCGTTTACACACATTGACATGACTTCGCGCCACGTTTGTGCTTACGCACTACCAAGGGGCCAAGCCCTTTTTTACTGGTTCGCCAGTTATTTTGCTGTGGACTACGGTCCAGTTCCCAACTTAACGTCCCCTGCGGGGGGAGCGTGTTGGTTGGTGTGTGTAGCCGTGTGCCACCGCCACATTTTTTTTTAAATTTGGGAGAGTGAAGCCCTTATATCTAGTATTTTATATTAATATTATTGTGCGCCTTTTCAAAGCGGGAAGAAATTAATTAATAAGGAATCAACTGTTGTGAATCTGATACGAGTGGAATAGGGACGATTTAATGTTCTTAACGTTTTTTGAACTCTGTCTTCATAAACGGGGTTCTTTAGCTTATATGGCACTACAAACAGATTTCGACTGCTTTGGTGAATATTCATTCTTCCAAGGGACTAAAAGAACTGAGTTACTATACAAACACAACATAAATAACGGTCCTAATTAAGACGATGACGCCAAAAATTAATTAAACGGCCTTTATTTGAACCTTCTTCCTCCTTCAGATCAATATATGGTTAATATACTGGTCACGTAAACGACAGATGCCATTTTCGCATTACGCCAATTGTGCGAAAAGTACAAGCGCGTGCATAAAGATCTGCACATGGTTTTTGTCGACCTTGAAAAGGCGTACGATCGGGTTCCCCGTGAGGTCGTGTGGTGGGCGTTAAAGATGAAAGGTATGCCTGGGAAGTATGTGAGGTTGGTCCGTGCTATGTACAGAGCATCCCGTACATGTGTACGATCTGCCGCGGGAACTACGGGCAGTATCGATGTGGCGGTAGGGCTGCACCAAGGGTCGGCACTGAGTCCTTACCTCTTCCTACTGATTATGGACGCTTTGACGTCGGACCTGCAGGATGAGGCACCCTGGTGCATGCTCTTTGCCGATGACATCGTGCTTGTCGGGGAAGAAGGCATCGAGGTACAGAGCAGACTGACGGGGTGGCAACGGAGGCTGGAAAGTGTTGGCCTGAAGATCAGCAGATCCAAAACCGAATATCTGTGCTGTGATTTCGGCGGTCTTTCCAGTCCTGTACCCATGTCGTTGGATGGCGCTATACTGCCTATCTGCTCAGATGTCAAGTACCTCGGTTCCCTCATTCAAGGCGACGGCGGAATAGATAGAGCTGTGCAGCATAGGATTAACGCAGGGTGGATGAAATGGCGACAGGTCACAGCCACAACGTGCGATCCCCGAATGCCAATAAGGCTGAAGGGGAAAATTTACAAATCGATCATCCGACCTGTCGTCATGTATGGAAGTGAATGCTGGGCCGTCAAGAAGAAGGATGAAAATAGACTGCATGCGAATGAAATGAGAATGTTACGATGGATGTGTGGTGTGACAAGGATGGATAAGATAAGGAATGAGTATATAAGAGGAAGCCTGAAAGTAGCGCCAGTGGTAGAAAAGGTGAGAGGAAGCAGATTGGCATGGTTTGGGCATGTGATGCGGAGGAATGAAAGTCATGTCACAAAACGAGTGTTGAATATGAATGTGGAGGGACACACGGGCAGAGGAAGGCCGAATAAAAGATGGATCGATTGTGTGAAGAGTGATATGAGAATGAAAGGAGTAAGTATGGAAATGACGGCTGATAGAGAGGAATGGAACAAAAAGATTTACTGCGCCGACCCCAGATAATGGGAAATGGTTTAGAGAATGATGATACTGGTCACGTAAATTTGATATATTTTTATATATCTTATAGATATAAATACTACAGAATTAAATAAAGAGGGGGAGTGTTACAGTGTGTTTATTTCATTCTACTGGGTTGTTTGAATTTGAAGTGACGGGAAGGACAAACTGCATTTATTATATCCAATTAACATATGTATTTCTAGGTACTGTTACATATGAATTGTTATGTAAATAGTTAAGCTCGGGCATTTGTCGGCTTAAAAATGCTAATCCTTACTGCTGAACGGATTGTAATAAACTATCATGCCACTCCGGATTCTGGACTCCGTATAGATATAAATTGTTTAAAATAGAATTTAAACATAACTAGTGTTATGTCTAATTTTAATTTGTATAGCTTAAAGATTTTATAATTTCTTTCCGATTTTTCCCTATTCATGTTTCGGAAAAATGTAAAAGCATTTTCACAGATAGTGACAAACGAGCACACACTCCACCAGAAATGGTAAGTGTGTGTTGTGGCCCATAAACATCACACAACAATCTATAATCGATTAAGAATAGAATAGAATAGAATATTTTTCATTCAATATAGATTATTACATAATACTTACATATTGAAAGTCTTTTTTTTTAATTACCACTGGTTCCGAAAATACCTCTGTCCTGGGAAGAACCAGCAAGAAACACAGCGGAACTTTTCTTTTAAACTCACTTTACAATAATTTTAATAAAACCAGAATGGTGGCGATTACCTCATTCCCAGATTCTTTTTTCATTTATGTATTCCTTGATATTATAATAAACCTTTTTGTACAATTTTTCTTTAATAAAACACTTAAACTTGCTTATTGACAATTTTTGTACATTTTCTGGGATTTTGTTGTAAAAGCGTGTACATTGCTCCATAAATGAATTACTAATTCTGTGGAGTCTGTAGTAACTGGTATTACAAGCTTATGTTTGTTCCTAGTGTTTAAAGTATGAACATCTTTATTCTTATCGAAGCTATTTATGTTTTTATGTACATATGTACATTACATTTTCATAAATATATTGCGATGCCAAAGTTAATATGTTTATTTGTTTAAAATTTTCTCTACGGAACTATTTACAATTTAAGTTATAAATCGCCCGTACGGCTCTATTTTGAAAAACAAATCACATCACAACAAACAGTCGCATTACCCCTTAGCAAAATTCCATAAGATACGAATATCACGCTATGAAAGTAACTAAAATAAACTAATCTAGCTGTCTTAACATTGGTGAGACTTCTAATCTTTCTTACAGCATATGCTGCAGAACTAAATCTGCCTGCGAATTTAGATTTTATAATTTAGAGGTATATGGCGGCCCCATTGAAGCTTCGCGTCAATAGTAATATCAAAATGCAGATGCGTTGTCATCCCTAACGACTAAGATGGAATTCCTTGTATTCAGTAAAAAAGGGTACCGATTCTCCACACGAAGCACAGCAGAATTATGCTGCTATTTTACGCTGCTGTTCTGTGAAAGCGTGATGTCCTTGATACACCTAAGTTAAGCCTTCTAGACTTCTTAGTCGTAGTATATATACAAAAATATAAGTAGTGGTTGGTATGTCTGGCCCGAAAATTTGTTGTAACTTGGTTGGTAGCTCCGTAGCCCTTCAACTGAAGGTGTACCATACAACGGTCATTGTTCGTCGTTGAAGCGTAACTGTTGACCCACTATTCTTTACTTTCACTAAACATTTTTAATGCGACTGTGGCGCTT